TGCGGTAGCCCTCCAGAAGCTCAGACAGCGAGGCAAAAGACTGTGTCTGAGTCAAGTTATGCGTCTAGTACACCTGCACGAAGCGACGAATATCAGAGACAATGTGTTCGGTGTACTAGGCCTCGTCACAGACTGGCAAGGTACACCGCCCATTATCCCTGACTACAGTCTCTCCCCGAAAGAAGTCTTCATTCAAGCGACCATCAGGGATATACGCGGTACCCATTCGTTGGGTGCATTGATGGGTAGAACCATGGCCGGCGTATCAGGCATACCATCTTGGGTCGTGGAAATCAGCCCGAAAACGCCAACACAGTACGCAGTCGCACAGCTCAAAGTACATCGCTCAGCACTATATTCAGCGGCGGGCGGAACGGCAGCCCACATCGAGAGAAGGAAAGATGTACTCACGGTAGACGCTTTCGAGCCACGCCAGACAATATCACAAGTCTCACAGATATTACATACGGAGAGACTTACATGGAAAAGCATCATCGACACTCTTGAGACATGCTATCGCATGATCGAGGCCGAGAAGAAAAACGTCTTCCGCGCTTTGGCAAATCAGTCGTTGGAAGAAGCGCTCTGGCGTATCTTGACGACTGACTGCTGGGAACCGCTTCCGTCGAACCACGCGGCTTCCTTCAACGACTCTTCGCGAGGAAACAAATCACAGAGATTCGGCAACACAAATGTCTCGCGCTTGGGACGGAACTTGCAGACGTGGTGTCAGGCTCGAGCCACTAATCCTGATGCTGTGGGAAGCCTACATGGCGACGATCTTAGCGACGATCGCTTTTTCTATGAGTCGTGGTTTACTTCGGGTTTTGATCGGAGGTTCTTTATCACGACGGATGGTTACATGGGTGTAGGTCCGCCGGAGATGCTGCCCGGTGACTCTGTTGCTATTTTGTTGGGAGGACGCGTACCGTTCTGCCTCCGAGCAGCTGAGGATGGGACTAAAGGTCACTATACGCTCGTCGGAGATACGTATGTGCATGGCTTGATGGATGGAGAAGGCGTTCCGGCGAATTGGAAGGAGCATGTCGTTAAGATACACCTCCATTGAAAAGACTTCAATTTAAACAAGTTTGCCCTCCGACACGTAAACTTTTCCTGCAGTTGTAAAGTGCACGACACCTAGGATGTGTTGAGATAGAGTACAACATACTGACAGTGAATAGTCGAAGAATTTGAAAACAACATGGACCCTGTTGAAGTGACGTGTAATAAACATACCAACACTCGACTCATCAGTCGAAGCGGTATCATGAAAATGCCCAGATATCTAAGCTTACACTCCCCTGCGTACAAATGTAGTAAACTCCAAACAATACCGTGTCGCTCATACAGAAGAAAGCGGAAACAGCCTTTTGCAACCTCACCAACGCCACGCAGCAAGGGCTTTACAAACACATACTACTACATCTAACCACCACCTTCAGCGATGGCCTTGAGTAGACCGCCGACATAGTTCCGAAGAGTAAGATTATGGCTTGCTGTGAAGGCGATCTGGTCCCGCAGCGGAGCAAAGATGCGGGGGACCCACCCAGCGTTCTTGGCTTCTTCTTCCTCCTTTTCTTCGTTCTCTCGTCTTTGTTCCGCCGCTGCGTCGCTGAGACGTGGCTTCTTACCGCCAGCTGTGGCTCGTCTGGCGGCTTCGGGGCTTCCTTCACTGGCGCTAAATGTCCGCTTATGGGCTGGAGAGGATGGTGAGGTAATGTCGGTGACAGTGGTTGGTGGTGGGATCTTGTTGAGCTGGCGAGCAAGGTTGCGAAGGACGAGGACAGAGGACAGGGGAAGGCCGGCGGCATCATTGGTATCGTCGGTTGCCGTGTTGTAGTAGCGGAAGTTGGGTGCTGATTGTGCTCCTGCTGCATCCTCTCGGCCACCGTATCTGCTTGCAGAGCTGGTCGATGAACTTTGGTGTCGCCCACCCATACCCAAACTACCCAGCCCGACCGGTTGTCCGAATTGCGGCTGAAAGTTCTCATGTCGTGCTTGTGCGGAAGAAGTCAAGGGCCGTGACTCTGAAGGCGTGCGGTTGTGTTTCGCGTGGATGGCCTGCTTGATACTCGTATCAGGCAAATGCGTCTTGACATGCTGTCCAGCCTCGAACGCGGATTCCGTGCCTTCAGGCGAGAATCGAGTGCAACCGCCCCAGTGACAGTAGTACTTCGTCGCTTCTGGGGTGTCGCCGTTCTCGATGTTGACAATGTCCTTGATGTCCAGCTTTGGCTCAAGCAACCACTGTCCGGTTTCCTGGTCGCGGGGAACTTGGAGATGGACACTGACCACGTGTTCCCACATAGAGCGTGCTCCAGAAGCGAACTCACCGCACTCGATGTTAGCTGTCGAATGTTTCGAGTCGGCGTGGCCGTTCAGGAGGCTCGGTGGATGCCAGCAGCAGCGCATGTACGGCCTCTTGGTGCTTGGGTCAACTGGTACGGATCGTGGCCGTATGCCTCTTATGGTATACTTTGGCTGCCCACCCACGGTCAACACCTGAGCGGAGGCGCCACCGAACGTCGTCGATACATTCGTGATGAAGTCCTTAGCTGGCATCAGCGCCTTGAAAGAAGCCGGATTATTCGTCATGTGTTCTGAGAAGGCTGCGTTGTAGGCCGACCAGAGCTGGATCTGAGTAATCTCGCCAGTAGCGTCCTCTTCGAAACACGTCTTGAGCCATTGCGAGCTACGCTCTGGCTCATCAAGCGTCACGAGATGATCTATGATTGCAGACGAGAGCTTAGGCGCATTCTCTGGGGGTGCGGAGGTCTTTGCCGTCTTGGCGGCACTCCTTCGTTCTTCGTATGCAATTGCACCGTACTGTAGCAGGCGTACCAGTTGTTTCGCCACTCCTTCAATGTCAACTTCGTGTACAAGCGTCTCAACGTTGTCGGGGAAACCAGTAAAGAGATAGAGGAAGTCCAGGCATGCTATGCGCAGATCTTCGTCTTCTACTAGCAGCCAGTCGCAGATTGACTTGAGGGTCTTGACTGGCACGTCAGAGAGCTTGTTTGTAGCCTCCAGGTTCATTGCTATCCGGGCGAGTGCTCTCAGCGACGTGATAATGCGGCCACGGTCGTCGGAATCCACTTGGGCGAGCAAAGAGCGATACAGCGGGCTTTGCGAGTCCAGTATCCAGTACTTTGTCAGCTGCTCAGCAATCTCCAGGGCGTAATGCTGTAGCTCCACGATAGTAGAGTGGCGGGGCAGGTTAAGTGCGATAACGATCATGTCTTGGATGGATGGCACAGAGGCCGCGAAGATGGCATTCTCTTTCAGCATCACCATGTTCCGGATGATGAGCGCAGCCTCGTTGATCATGGTGAGGGCCTTTGCGGATTGCTCGGGTAAGAGGTTGTCGTGCATGTCGAGTGGGCGGAGAGATTTGATGCGCTGCAACAGGTCGCGGGTGCCGGTCAGTCCGTTAAGGGTTTGCGGCTGAGTAAAGTCCTCTTCGACGTATGAGATGTCCCAGTTCACGTCGAAGAACAACGTGGACACGTCAATGACCTTGGCGATGAGTGCATCTGCGAGCCCCGGGAACTGATCGAAGCGGTACTTGTCTCCACGCTCGTGCGAGATCTTGACCAGGTGGTGCAGCGCGTATGCCTCCTCCTCAGGCTCCTTTGACCGCAGCGCGTTCAAAGCGCGGATGTATATGCTGGGCCCTGAGAAGCCGGTACCAGGCAGCATCATGCCCTTGAGCGGCACCGGCCTGTTCTTCTTGTTGAGGATGTATTTCTTGCGCGACTGTATGTAGGTATCGAGGGAGTTGGACGGGGTAACGACGGGCTTCATGGTGGCTGGTACGGCGGTCCGTGGTTCGTAGTTCGCGATCGTCATGGCTGCTCCGCTGGTGCCGTAGCCGTTGGCTTGCGACGAGGTCAGGTGGCCTGTCGATTGGCGCGTCTGTCGGGTCGAAGACTCGGGCTGGAAGAGCACTCGCTGCGGCGGCGCATGGCGGAGGGACCTCGTCGACCGCCCAAGGCTACCGGGCTCGTCCACGTCCATCTTGTCGTCTTTCGGTGTCTTCTCGACGTCGTCTTCGGAGTCGGAGTCCTCCTCTCCCCTTAATCGCTCAGCCTCTCTGTTGCTGGTTGGGAAGAAGTTGTCGACAGTCCGGTTGAGCAGGTCTCCGCCCTTTGCAGAGACGTTCTCGAGGATTTCGGGCGGCGGGGGTTCGCGCTTGTGAACGGTGGATATTTCGTAGGCGCTAGAGCAGGCGTCAGTAGTGGTAGGCGCAAAGTTGTCTTTCACCATTCACGTACGCAAGGTTCTTGTAGTAGGCCGTCTTCACCAAAAAGGCCTGGGTGGTGATGCTGGGGCTCTTGGGCAGGAACTCAGTCGCGATTTTGCGCCACGCAAGCTTGTTGTTTTTGGTATCTGAAACCCTATCGTAGCCTCCCTCTTCATTAACGCGTTTGTAGAGTCGCAACAGGTCAATGTGCCGGCTCCCGACCTTGGGTTCGCGATCCAGGACAGTGCTACACGTCGGGTCAATATGCGCTCATTGCGGCGAGACAAAGAACAAAACCCACCCGCGCTTTTCGTGGTATTCGGCCAAGGTGTTCAGGAAGTCTTCATGTTCTTGGGTGCGCTCGACAGATTGTTCCTCTGGTTTGTTTGGGGCCATGGTGCGGCTGTCGCATTTACTCGGGACTGCTCGGGCACGGGGCGCGACGCATGCGTGGATTCAGCTGTGTGCCAGGCGCAATGGTGGATCTGCTCGTGAATGCGCGGCGCGCGTCGTTCGCGATGATGGATGGGCGAACACCAGAACTCCAGACTGCACCAGGTCCCTCGCGTTGATTCGCACGGACCACATCATGTGACTGGTGGCAGGTCGCGACTTCCTTCGACCATCTCTCACATCCTCAACACATAGATGCGCGACCTCGGCGTTTTTCCAAGACGACAACGTTCATCGCACAAATGCCATCAGATGGCAGCTGATTGATCTCGACTAACAAACAGCATTGCTAACAATCATCATGCTATCCCTTCCACTCCAGACTCTGTCAACAGCACAGGACACCGACGCCAGCGAGCAGAGGTTCAACTGGCAGAAAGAGACCAATGACCTCACACTCATCATCGACAGATATGGTGCGCGCGGGGGTCTTCAGCTCATGAAACTGTGTCAAGGCTCGCAGGTTCGGGTACGACGCATGCATGACTGATTACCCACCCATTCAGATTGGAAACCCGCTTCCAATGATGTGCTAGCTAACCGTTGGATGACAGCAAACCATCGAAATTGAGAGACTGATCAACCAAGGCAATCACATTACGCGTCTGAGTGAAGAGCGCGGAGTGCAGGTGCAGCCCGACCACCTACACATATCCGCCATTGTGCGCTGCCCTCTGCTCGCTATCAAATGGCAAGTGGCCAACGACAAGATCAGGCGCATCCAGATGAGGTTCAAGTCGGACAAAGACTTCGATACCGCCTTCAGCCACCTCCTTCATCTCGGTCTCTACATGGGCGGCCAAAAGGCTGTCCCGTCTCAGCCAAGGTCTACGGCTCAGCCACCATCTCCGGCGCGAGGAGGATCGTCTTCCCGGCCAAGATTGACTGCTGTTGCATACCCTCAGCTGCCTAATATGAGCTCTGCCATAGGTGGACCATCATGTCCTCCTTCACGACTGGCGGAGATCTCTAGTCGACCGTCCACTAGCTACGACGTCTCTGCTTCCTTGAATCATGAACTACCCACAGCATCATACACCCGTCCAGTTTCTGCCACCACAGGCTATACTAGAGAGGCGGGTGGTGTGCCGGCACCATTCTCAGGTCCTCTTGCTCCTCCAGTATTGTTCACTCGTCCTACCTCAGCAACCTCGGATATCTTAGGACGCTCGCATGTTGACTCTTCATATACGTCAGATCAGCACATGTCGGACCTTCAAGATACTCATCGTATGTCTACGGAGCGACCGGATACTGCTATGCTCTTCAACCGCCCTGGTAGTGCAAACCGTCCCGGTACTGCGGATCGCCCAGGTAGCACTGAGATACTACCACCGAGACGCGAGCTTCCTTTCCCACGCTTATCTTCGCCGCGCTCCTCTGGCAGCGACAGCGTGCGGCCCTCTACTGGCACAATGGGGCCCCCTCCTCTACCAGCGCACGTAGCCAGTAACCGACCTGGTTCCAGCCGAAGCGCAACCAGCAAGGAGATCGAACTCCCACCTCTGCCCCAACCCACTGTCATCAGCAAGACCGCACGTGGAAAGCAACCAATGCAACAGCCTCCTCGCACACCGAACCAAGATCAGTACATTCCTGCACGCGCAAAGACATCTCCACATGGCGGCATCGAGAATCAGTCACCGTTAACATCGTCTCCAATCTCCTCTCCGCTGTCTTTCAATCGGTCAAGCTTCAGTGCCTTGCCGACACCGCAACCTCTCGGTGAACGGAGTAATGCTGCACAGAATCTTCATCATAACATGTCATATAGTGTTTTCGATACCCCACCTACGTCTGTTACTGGTCACCGTGGTGTGAGCGTGTCAAATCCAGGTGCTACTGTGAGTGTGAATGAAAACGACCAGCTGGCGACATATGCGATGCAGTCTGACGAGGGACGCAGAGCAGCGCTCAACGAGTTCGTCTACCGCCACCTGGAAAGCGACGACTTCCTCACGCTGGTCCAAGACATGGAGGCGACTTGGGCGAGAGTTGTGATGTGAATGCAATGAAAGGACCGCTGGCGATGGAGATCTAGCAATGACTATGTGAAGGAAGGAGAATCTCGTCGAGACTGTTCAAGAGGACGTAGTGAAGAGTATGGAAAAGGGCGCGACGGTATCTCATAAGCATCAACACGTTCTGTTGTTTCAAACGCTTTCGTAGTTCCGAGATAGTAATACTGTCAACAGATGATGAGAATCGAAGCCCTCGTCTTGCATCTACTCAATGCCTACTCCCCTGCTCACCAACAACATACCCCCTCGCAATCCCACTCCTTCCCTCTTCCATCTTAGCCGCCCTTTTCCCACCAGCCCCCTCTTCTCCATCCTCCGCATCCCGGTAATCCGTACCCAGACCCTGCCATGTCCTATTCGAGCGCAAGTACTCTGCACCAGGCGACGCGACGCCCCCCACAGCCGCAATATCGCCATTCGCCCGTTTCGTCAGTGCCGAACTAGACGACGACGTCGTTGCATTGCCGTTAACGGTTTTCGTCGCGCCGCTCGAGCGCATAGGTCTTGCATGCGAAACATAGCGCCCAGTCCTGAGGTCAAATTCCGGAGGCGCAGATTCCTCTTCAGAATCGTAATCGCCATTTGCATTTGCTTCTCCGTCCTGCCCACTGCCCACCTCTTCCTGTGCTTCCTCTGTGCTTTCTTTCACATCCCCCTCCCCCTCATCCAAAACCTTCTGAAAGTCGCCCTCCCACCTCCCCGTCCAAATCCTCTCCTCATCCCCCATCAACGCCACCTTGAGCTCCCACGGCGTAATCATCGGCCGCCAAAACTCCCTACTCTCAATGAGACTACTCTCCCAACACCCTATCACCACCCACCCCCCGACCTCACTGAAATTAGCCACCTTGGCTGCATTCACTTTGCCCACGACAAAGGTGTAATATTTCTTGCCTGCAGCCGTGATCTGCCGTTGGACGTGCGAAAGGATGTGCATGTAGTTCTTTACGGAGAGTGTATTGATCAAGATGCCGAAGATGGGGGTTGTGGAGAGGGAGGTCAGGAGGGCGTAGCGGCGCATGAGGGTTTGGTGGGTGCGGGCTAGGGAGGCGGTGGGTGGGGTGGCGGAGGGGGTGTCTGTGGGGTAGATGTGTATTGAGGCGACGCGCGAGGAGAGGGTGAGGAGGAGGGAGGTTGGTGGGTCGGAGATGTGGAAGAGGGCGTAGTCGTGGAGGGCTTCGTCTGTTTCTGTTGTGTTCGGTGGTATTGTTCGGTTTGGAAGCGGCGACGAGGGATTGTGTACGATCTCTGTGGCGTGGATGTGCGTGTAACCGGCGTCTTGGAGGCGTGTGTGGAGTGTGGGGATGTGGTGCGAGTATGGTATGTCGGCCATGAGTATGATCTTTGCGTCTTTTTTTGGATATGTTTCTTGGAATGTTGCGATTGCGGGGTCGAGATCTAGCGGTCGTTCGGTAAAGACGTATACGACTGGTAGTCTTGAAGGAGGCGAGAGACATGAGCGACCATAATGCACGACAACATCCGCATCGACGTGCTCTGCCGCAACTTCGTCTACACAGCACGCGCCATATGACGTGTCGCCCAGTATAAACAGACTCTCGTCTTTGCTCTCCTCTTCACTTATCGCCGCCTTCTCCATGCCCGCGCTGATTGCTTCCACGCCTGTTGTCCCATTTGTATGTCCATTCGACTCTTGCACACCATCCCGCGCCTTCCTCGCCTTACCCAGCCCCCGACTCAGCTGATCATACACCCTCGGCGCATCAGTAAGCATGTGATCAGGAAACTGCAACGCAATCCTCTTCCACCTTCCCTCGCGGATTTCCCTGACCGTGCGCTCAATCTCGTATGTGAGCGTGATCTGCTCATCGGAAAGTCTGGGGAGACTCGACGTGTCTACAGCGGGAGTGGGGTCTTCGAAGATGTGCGTGTCGGGCGTAGAGAGTACGGGCGCGCCTGCGAGCGACGGAACGGCGGCCATTGTGTGTGGTGATTGCGGAAGAATGGCGTTGAGTGCATGAAGCGTGGCGGGGTTGTAACTTTTTTTGATGAGCGCGCAACTGGCGGGGCACGCCTCGGTGATGCAGGGACGGGCGGCGCCGAAGAGCCGCAATGCATGGTATGGTAATGTCGCACGTGTGATAGGTGAATGGCAATGGAACGTTCGGTATACGTGTATTGACTCAATTACTATCTACAAAAGAGAGGTGGTATCATATTTCAACCCGCGCTGAATCCAATCCCTATGTCGCCAAAAGCAAACTAGAAAATATCTCACATCATCAGGTATCCAGACACGGCCGCTGCCAGAGCAAGACCGAGGACGTTGGGCACAAACTTTCCTACACCGCTGTCATCATCGCCGTTGTTTGTAGTGGCGAGCTGACCAACGATCAACTCGGGAGTGTATGGCTGCGATGTCTCGACTGTGGTGCCGTTCCAGCAGTAGTCAGTGAAGCACTGCTGGCACACTTGTGGGATAGCCTCGCCGTTGCGCTCCAGACTCCTAGAGAGAATAGCGCATCCGACGCAAGTAGGCCAGTTTGAAGCACCCTCACGTGTGGAGTTTGCTTGGGTGACGACGTCGTAGCCGTTCTCGATCATGCCGTTGCGCTCTGAGATGCTGTAGTCGAGCTTGTTGAAGGTGGAGGTGTTGGACCAGAAGACGTAGGGTGCGTTGGGGAGGTAGACGACGAGAGGAGGGATGTTGTCGCCCTCAGTGACGTTGCTGCTGTTGCAACCAAAGAAAGCGGGGCGGCTGTTGAAACCCAGGGCAACGAAAGTGTCCTGACCGGGGATGTAAGGGAATGAAGTCCTGTTCATGAGAGTGCCGCTTGCACGCTCGTAGGTCGCAACCAGAGAGGTACCGTTAGGCCAGTTCTGCGATGGGTCGTCCTCCTCGACGGTGTCGCCAGAGGAGTCGATAGCAAAGACGACATCGACCTGGCGTACGGGCTGAATGACCGGGTTGAAGGGAATGTTCTGGCCATCCTCACCACCGTCAACGAGAGTAAGACGCTCCCTGTCAGCACTGGGGTTCGTCTCGTTGTGGTAACGGAAGAAAGGGTTGGGCGAGTAGTCGGCGATATCGTCACCGTCTTCACCGATACCCTTGAGAATGTTCGATACAAAGTTCACCAGGATCTGAGGTACGTCCTGGATGGTGTTCAATGTGAGGAAGATCTGGTTGAACAAGGAGCTGCTGGTTCCCATGACGAAACCCAGGTTGTCGAAGCCCTCAACACAGCCCTGGTCTTGAGCAAGTTCACCCTCGCTGAAATTGGAACCGATGTACTTCAGAGGAGCAAAGCCGTAGGTTGTAGGGTCAAATGAGCCCATTTCGAACGGGTTGAACTCGAAGTTGGTGGCGTTCAAAGAGATGATCAAGTCTCCGGGCGAACGCTCATCTGCGACGAGGATAGGCATTGGTGCGTTTCCAGACGAGAAGTCTTGGTCGTCCTGGATGGAAGAGAAGGTGTAGGCTATTGGGGTTAGCTTGTGGACTTAAAGGATCTGGGGGTAAACATACCTGGAGCACCATCACTGGCGTTGATGAGCTGGAAAGAAAGACCGCGACCGTACACATCGGTAATCGACGTGTTGAAGTCACCAGCCGGCGAATCGCTCTTGTCCTTAACTGTGCTGACCAAGTTGTCGTAGTACTGCGCAGTCGAGAGCAGCTGGATTCCCTTCGTAGGAGGCCCCTTGAACAGCGAGTTCTGGAATTGCCAAATCGCCGAGTCCTCCCCCTTGTTGATGATTGCCTCAACGGAGGTAAAGTTGTTGGCGTAGATGCTGCCAATCATCCAGCCTCCTCCCGATAATGCGGAAACATATGTGGATGCCTGCAAGATTCCTCCCAGATGTCCTGCACTCGTCGAGTTCGATGTCCGACTGTCAAACGCCGCTAGAGCACCCGCACCGTTCAGCAGGGCCCGGTATCCTCCACCAGAGAACGAGATCGCGATGTTCGGTAGGGCGGTAGTGTTGTCGCGGTGGTTGCTAATGTATTGACCAACGTCGAAGCCCTCAATGTTGACGCGTTCGAGGAACTCGCGCATGGGATCGATCGTGTTCGGCCTCCTCTTCTGGAGCCATTCTGTCTCTTGCTGTGAGAGTTTGTCGGCGGATCGAATGCTCGGGCGCGTGGATGGGCAGTTGACTTCGGCTGGCGCGTATCCGTTGGGAGCCTGGGGCGAGGCACGCTTCAATATATCCAAGTCATTGGGAGGTACGACTCTAGCTTCCCGAGGAACAACCGCAGATGCTGTCATGCGTCAGCTGGGTCCCTGCAGGAACACAAGGAGGCACAACACTTACAGGTCGCTAAACTAGTCAATGCCGAAGCAGACAACACAGAAGAATACTTCATCCTAACGAATGGATGTGAAGAAAGGAGGGTGAGAAGGCTGAGAAGACGCGAAATGAATCGCGAACAAATGCGGAATCATGGCAATGTTAAATGATGCGCTCCATGCTGACGGGAGGCTGCGGAATGACCCACACTGCACAGGCGGCTATGCTCCTGGCTCCAACGCACCAAACGCCCGGAAGAGCTAGGAGGATCTGACCTCATAGGCGTGCTACTAGGCGTGCCACTTGTCGTGGCTGAAGGCCCTGACGATCAAACTTTATTTTTAGTCCCATCTCTTCTCGTCGAGGTTTTGTCCGTGTTTAGCTCTCAACTAGCCTTTTCTCACATCAACGTTCGAAGCCTAATTTCTAGCTATTCTATTAGCCGCCCCACCTATTAGTAGGCCTATATTAGGCGGCAGCTAATCCTAAAAAAAATCTACTAGCCTTTTTTAACCTAGCTACTAACACTACAATTACCCTAAATTTCTAAAAAAACAATAATTACAATGCTAGCTGCTACGCCTACTACGCCTACTGCTAAGGTAAGTGCAATTTAGTATAAAGAAATAGTACTAATAAGCATAGCAACCTGCTATTTGCAACCTCTATAGAGCACTTAGTGTTTAGACTCCTCTCTTATAGTAAAAAGACACCTATCTCTACGTTGT